GCTTATTTCACTCAGTATAATACTATCCAGCTCCATCCATGCTATCCCAAATGTTAAGAAATCCTTTTTTGCCACTGTATAATATTCCATTGTATAAATTTACCACTGCTTTTTTATCTATTCATCTACTGATGGGCACTTGGGCTGTTTCCAGATCTTAGCTATTGTAAGTAAAGCTGCTAAAAACATAGGGGTGCATATATTCTTTCTGATTGGTGTTCAGGGCTTCTTAGGATATATTCCTAGAAGTGGGGTTGCTGGGTTTAATTGTAGTTCCACTTTTTCTTTTTCTTTTTTCTATTATTATTATTATTATTATTATTATTATTATTTCCACCTTTTATTTTCTTTCTTTTTTCTTTTTTTCTTTTTTTCTTTTTTTTTTCTTTTTTTTTTTTTTCAGTAAATTCCATACTGTTTTTCATACTGGCTGCATCAATCTGCATTTCCACCATCATTGTACTTATATTCCCTTTTTCCATATCCTTGCAAGCACTTGTTTTCATCATAATTAAAATGCTAAAAGTTAAAGACAATTGTAAAAGCCACAAGAGAAAGACAGTTACCTACAAGGGAACTCCCACAACACTGTCAACTGATTTCTCAACAGAAACATTTCAGGCCAGGAGGGATTTGCATGAAATATGCAAATTGATGAAAAGCAAGAACCTATAACAAAGGCCACTTTGCCCGGCAAGGTTATCATTTAAAATTGAAGAAGAAATAAAAAGTTTTAAAAGCAACAAAAAGCTAAAGGGGTTTGTTACCACCAAACCAGTATTACAAGAAATATTAAAGGGCTTGCTTTAAGAAGTGGAAAAAGGCCCTAGATTGGTTTGGTTTAGTGAATAGAGCCTCAGTTGAAGGCTCGATTCCTGGCCCTGGTCAGGCACATGTGGTTGGCAACCAATCTATATATCTCTCTCACATCAATGTTTCTGTCTCTGTGTCTCTCCTGTTCTCTAAAAATCAATAGAAAAAATTCCTCAAGTAAGGATTAACAACAACCAAAAAAAAAAAAAAAAAAAAAAGTGGAATAATAAGAAAAAAACACACAGAGGAACATAGTTAAAAATATAAAATGGCAATAAATATTTACCTATTAATAATCACTTTAAATATAAATATCTTAAATGATCCAATAAAAAGAAATAAGGTAGCTGAATGGATAAGAAAATAAGGCCCATGTATATGCTGTCTTCAAGACAACCACCTCAGAATGAAAGACACACACTGATTAGAAGAATAAAAACGGAAAAAGATATTTCATGCAAATGTAAAGGGAAAAAAATCTGGGTAGCAATACTTATATTTGACAAAAAGATTTAAAAACTGAGGCTATAATTAGAGACACTACAGAATGATCAAGAAATCCCTTGAACAAGAGGACATAACCCTTGTAACATTTATGCACCTAATATAGGAGCACCTAAATATGTAAAGCAAATCTTTTTCCCCCCATTTTTTAAATTAAGGTGTTATATGTGTACATATCTTAACATTGCCCTCCCTCACTACATTCCTATACATCCCCTCAACCTCCCAGTGTTTTGCGTCCACTGTTTATGCTTATATGCATGCATACAAGTCCTTTGATTGACCTCTTATCTCCCGCACCTCTCCCTAAACTTCCTGCTGTAATTTGACAGTTTGTTTGGTGCTTTACTGCCTCTGTATCTACCTTTTTGCTCATCATTTTATAATGTTCTTTATTATTTACACATGAGTGAGATCATGTGGTATTTTTCTTTCATTGACTGGCTTATTTCACTTAGCATAATGTTCTCCAATTCCATTCAGGTTGCTGCAAATGGTAAGAATTCCTTCTTTTTAATGGCAGCATAGTATTCCATTGTATAGATGTACCATAATTTTCTGATCCAGTCATCTGCTGGTGGGCACCTAGGTTGCTTCCAAATCTTAGCTAATGTAAATTGTACTGCTATGAACATAGAAGTGCATATATCCTTTATGATTGGTGTTTCTAGTTTCTAGGATATATTCCTAGGACGGGGATTACTGGGTCAAATGGGAGTTACATTTTTAGTTTTTTGAGGAAACTCCATAATGTTCTCCCCAGTGGTTGCACCAGTCTATATTTCCACCAGCGGTGTATGAGGGTTCCTTTTTCTCCGCAACCTCACTAAGACTTGTTGTTTGTTGATTTGTTGATGATAGCTATTCTGACAGGTATGAGATGGCACTGTATTGTTGTTTTGATTTGCATCTCTTGGATAATTAGTGACTTTGAACATGTTTTCATGTGTCTCTTGGCCTCCCTTCTGTCTTCTTTCAAAAGGTTTCTATTTAGGTCCATTACCCATTTCTTGATTGGATTGTTTATTTATCTTTTGTTGAGTTGTGTAAGTCGCCTGTAGGTGTTGTAGATTAAACATTTATCAGTGATACCATTGGCAAACATATTCTCTCATGCAGTGAGTTTCTTATTGTCTTGTTGAAGTTTCCTTTGCTGTGAAAAGCTTTTTATTTTTATGTAGTCCCATTTGTCTTGTGTGTTTTTTCTCTTTAGTTTACATTGCCCTAGGAAATGAATCAGTGAATATATTTTTTTGGCATCTGTCTGAGATTTGCTGCCTGTGGATTCCTCTTGAATTTTTATGGTTTCCCATTTTATGTTTAAGTCCTGTATTCATTCTGAGTTTTGTTTGTTTGTTTGTGTTTTATTTTCTGTGTGTGTGTGTATGTGTGTGTGTGTGTGAGTGTATGGTGTGAGTTAGTGGTCTAATTTTATTTAATTTATTTTTTGGCATATATCCAATTTTCCCAACACCATTTGTTGAAGAGACTGTCTTAACTCCATTGTATGGTCATGCCCCCTTCTTCTCCTGGAGTAAAGCTGTCCCTTAACTCATCAACAGACACTCTCCATGCTAACCTCAGCTGTTATTTCTTTCTGCTCTGTGACAAGGCTTAGGACACGTCTGTCTATTCTTCCACCTGTTTTTGTTTGTTTGTTTGTTTGTTTGTTTTTTGTTTTTTGTTTTTTAGTCTCTTGTAAAGGAAATCTTGATGGACATAAAGGAAGAGACTGACAATAATACAGTTATAGTAAGATATTTTAACACCCCCATTGACATCAAGGGATAGATCTCCCAGACTGAAAATCAACAAGGAGATGGTGACCTTAAATGATACACTAGATGTGGTCAGCAAACCACAACTCAAAAGCCACATACAGCTCTTTGGCCCCTTGAGTGTGGCTCTTTCACAAAATACCATATGTGGATGTGCATGTACAGTGCAATTGAAACTTTGTGGCCCATGTGCAGATGTCGGTTTTTGGTCTGGGTGAGTCTATTTTGAAGAAGTGGTGGTGTCGATCTCATGTGGCTCATGAGCTGCAGTTTGCTGACCACTGCAATGGGTCAGCTGAATTTAATTGATATTTTTAGAGCATTTCACCCCAAAGCAGCAGTATATACTAGGACAGACCACATGTTATACACAAAACAAGTCTATAAATTTAAGAAGATTGAAATCCTATCAAGCCTCTTTTCTGACCATAACTTGAAATCAATCACAAGAAAATTGAAAAACACAAAGACATGAAAGCTAAATAACATATTACTAAACAGTGAGTGGGCAAATAAGGACATCAAGGAAGAAATCAAAAGATAACTTGAAACAAATGGAAATGGGAACAGAACTACCCAAAAATCTGTGAGACACTGGATAGCAGCCATAAGAGAGAAATTCATATCATTATAGGTCTTTCTCAAGAAACATGAAAAATCTCTAATAAACAATCTAACTTTACATTTAAAGAAACTGGAAGAACAAAAAAGAACAAACAAAGCACAGAGTGAGTAGAAGGAAGGAAATAATAAAGAAAAGAGCAGAAATAAATGAAATACAGTTTAAAAATCCTATATAATAAAAAGCCCAATGACTGAACAGTGGAATGACTGGAATGATCAGTTGACCAGTCACTATCATGCACACTGACTACCAGGAGGAAGATGCCCAATGCAGCAGCTTCCCCCTGGTGGTCAGTGTGCTCCCACAATGGGAGCACTGCTCCCACAGCAGGCTAATCCTCATAGGCCATGCTCCCTGCACCAGTGCACAGTTCCCCATGCACCAAGCCTCTAGTACAATATAAAGCCTTAATGAGTCCAATAGCTGACTTTTTGGAAAGGTAAACAAGATTGAAGAACCTTTAACCATATTCATCAAGAAAAAAAAAAGGGGACCAAATAAATAAAATCATAAATGAAATAGGAGAAGTAGTAACTGACACCAAATATATACAAAGGATTGTAAAAAAAAAAAAAAAAAAAAAAAAAAAAAAAAAAGGAATTACAATTCTATGCCAATAAATCTGGAAGAAATGGATAAGTTCCTAGGAACATACAACCTTCCAAAACTAAATCAGGAAGTATCAGAAGATATGAATAGACAGATTAAAACTAGTGAAATGGAAGCAGTAATCATAATTTAAAAACAAAACAGAAAAAAAACACACCTCCCAACAAACAAAATCCTGGCCAAATGGCTCTACAACTGAATATTACCAAACATTCAAAAAGATTTCATACCTGTCCACAAATTATTGCAAAAAATTTCAGAGGAAGACTCCCAATCTCTTTTTATAAGGCCAGCATTATCCTAACTCCAAAACCAGATAAAGACACAAGAAAGGAAGAAAATTATAGCCCAACCTTCCTGTATAACATAGATGCTAAAATCCTCGATAAAATATTAGGAAACCAAATATAGCATTGCATTAAAAAGATCTTACACCATGATCAAGTGGGACTTATTATTGGGATGCAAAGTTGCTACAACATTCAAAAAACAATAAACATGATAAACCATATAAACAAATTAAAGGATAAAATCACATGGCCATATCAATAGATGCAAAAAAAAAGCATTTGATAAAATTCAGCACCAATGTATAATAAAAATTATAGTCTATATTGTTTCAAACAAGCACACATAGAGGGAAAAATTAACTTATATTTTTTATCTTTTAGGTCAAAATTACATTATCATGGGCCAAGTGGGTGAAGATGGGCGAGGCAAAATCATGCCCAACAGCTTTGTCACAATATTGAAGACCAAGAATCAGAAGTTCCTGACTGCCTTGGAAAACAAGCAATGTTAACAGTGAAATATGTACATTTAAGCTTCATTCTGTCATTGCCTTTGAAAGATCTATTTTTCTCAGTATAAAAACAATCTTATGACATTGAATATTCATTATTCAGAAAGATTAAATAGGTGTGGTGGAATTTCCAGGCCTGCATCAACAGAAGCAGATATTGTAGTGCAGTAACAGGAACCTAATGGCATCGAGTGGTGATAGTTGAAAGCAGTTTATTTATACATGCCTCTAAAGGGGTATTTTATAAATGAGTTTTGTGATGATGTGAAAATGGAGATTTTATAAGTGCAATGTTTGCTTCAAGATGTTATATTCTTTTCTTGCATTTTTAAATTGATGCTTAATAAAATATTTTTAAATGAATATGTAACAGGCATGGTACTAATTTTTTTAAATCAATCTTTATTATTCAGATTATTACACTTGTTCCTCTTTTCTCCCCCCATAGTTCCTCTCTACTTGGTTCCCAGCACACCCTCTGTCCTTACCCCCTTGCCACTGTCCTCATCCATAGGTGTACAAATTTTTGTCCAATGTCTTCCCTACACCCTCCTTCTCCATAAAAAAATTGTCTGATATGCTGCTGATTCTATTATATTCACCAGTTTATTCTGTTCGTCAGATTTTTAATTCACTTTATTTTTTTCCTTAATTTCTTTGTTGATTAAAGGATTCATATTTGTCCACATCCCACCATTACCTTCCCCCCCACCACTCGTGCCCTAACCTCCATGTTGTCTGAGTCCACTGGTTAGGCTTATATGCATTCATACAAGTCCCTCACTCCAACTGTCCCCTACCTTTCCTCTGAGGTTTGATGGTCTGATCTGTGCTTTCCTGTCCCTGGATCTGTATTTGTTCATCCGTTTATATTGTGTATTATTTCCCATAGATGAGAGAGATCATGTGATGTTTTTCTTTCTCTGACTGACTTATTTCACTTAGCATAATGTTCTCCAGTTCCATTCATGTTGTGGCAAATGTTAGGAATTCCTTCTTTTTTTAGTTCAGTATAGTATTCTATTGTGTAGATGTACCACATTTTTTAACCCACTCATCTGCTGATGGGAACTTAGGCTGTCTCCAAATCTTAGTTATGGTAATTTGTGCTGTTATGAACATAGGGTGTATAAATGCTTTCTGATTGATGTTTCTTAGGGGTATATTCCTAGAGGTGGGATCATTGGGTCAAGTGGGAGTTCCATTTTTAGTTTTTGGAGGAAACTTCATACTGTTCTCCACAGTGGTTGCACCAGTCTGCATTCCCACCAGCAGTGCATGAGGATTCCCTTTTCTCTGCATCCTTATCAATACCTGTCATTTATTGATTTGTTAATGATAGCCATTCTGACAGGTGTGATATGGTACTGCATTGTTGTTTTGATTTGCATCTCTCTGATGATTAATGACTTTGAGCATGTTTTCATATTTTTCTTGACCTTCCTTCTATCTTCTTTATAAAAGTGTCTATTTAGCTCTGTTGCCCATTTTTTTTATTGGGTTCTTTATCTTCCGTTTGTTGAGTTGTATGAGTTCCTTATAAATGTTAGAGATTAAACCCTTATCAATAACAGTGGCATATATTTTATCTCAAGTAGTGGGCTTTCTTGTTTTGTTGGTAGTTACTTGGCTCTGCAAAAGCTTTTTATTTTGATGTAGTCCCATTTGTTTATTTTCTCTTTATTTTCCATTGCTGTAGGAGCAGTATCACTGAAGAAGTTCTTTCGGCTCATGTCTGAGATTTTTCTGCCTGTGAATTCCTCTAGTATTTTTATGGTTTCCTGTCTTATGTTTAAATCCTGTATCCACTTTGAGTTTATTTTTGTGTATGGTGAAAATTGGTAGTCTAGTTTCATTTTTTGCATGTATCTGTCCAATTTTCCCAACACCATTTCCTGAAGAGACTGTCTTGACTCACTTGTATGTTCCTGCCTCCTTTGTCGAATATGAATTGAGCATGGTGATTTGGGTCAATAGGATTCTCTGGATTCTGGGTTCTTTATTGTATTCCATTGATCTATGTGTCTGTTCTTGTGCCAGTACCAGGCTATGTTAAGAACAGTGGCTTTGTAATACAGCTTGAAATTTGGTATTGAGATCTCACCTACTTTGTTCTTCTTTCTCAGGATTGCTGCAGCTATTTGGGGTCTTTTTTTAATTTGAGATGAAATTTTGGAGAGTTCTTTCTATATCTGTGAAATATGCCATTAGTATTTTAATGGGAAGTACATAGAATTTATAGATTGCTTTGGGGAAGTATGGACATTTTGATGATGTTGATTCTACCAATCCATGAAGATGGTATGTTCTTCCATCTGTTTATGTCTTCCTCTGTCTCTTTTTGCAGTGTCCTGTAGTTTTCTACATATAGGTCTTTTACCTCTTTAGTTTAGTTTATTCCTAGGTATCTTAATTTTTTGGTGTGATGGTAAACGGGATTGCTTTTTAAATCTCTCTGTAAGTTCTCTATTGGTGTATAGAAATGCCATATATTTCTTGGCTTTAATTTTGTATCCTGCTACAATGCCAAATTCATTTATTAAGTCTATTCGTGTTTTGATGGAGTCTTTAGGGTTTCCTATATACAGTATCATGTCATCTGTGAATAAGGACAGGTTTACTTCTTCTTTTCCAATTTGGATACCTTTTCTTTTTTCTTGTTGTCTGGTCAAAATGGCTAGTACTTGCAACTCTATGTTGAACAGGAGTGGTAAGAGTAGGCATCCCTGTCTTGTTCCTGTTCTTAGGGGAAAAGGTTTTCATTTTTGCCCTTGAGTATGATGTTCGCTGTGGGTTTGTCATATATGGCTTTTATTATGTTGAGGTATGGTCCTTCTATTCCCACCTTCCTGAGAGTTTTTATCAAGAAAGGATGTAGGATTTTGTCAAATGCTTTTTTCTGCATCACATAAACAAATTGAGAGATAAAAATCAGGTAGTCATATCAATTGACTACCTGATTTTTATCTCTCAATTTGTTTATGTGATATATCATGTTTATTGATTTGCAAATAGTGTATCATCCTTGCATCCCTGAGATAAATCCTATTTGGTCATGGTGCATGATCTTTCTGATGTGCTGCTGGAGCCGATTTGCTAGAATTTTGTTGAGGATTTTGGCATCTATGTTCATGAGGGATATTGGCCTGTAATTCTCTTTCATTGCGTTGTCTTTATCTGGTTTTGGTGTTAGGGTGTTGCTGGCTTCATAGAAGGAGCTTGGAAGGGTTCCTTTCTCTTGAATTTTTTGGAATAGTCTGAAGAGGATAGTTTTTAGTTCTTCTAATTCCCCTGTGAAGCTGTCTGACCCCAGGCTTTTGTTTGATGAAAGCTTTTTGATGACTGCTTCAATTTCTTCCATAGTTATCAGCCTATTGAGATTTTTAGAATCTTCCTGAGTAAGTTTTGGAAGGTTTTATTTTTCTAGGAATGTGTCCATTTACTCCAGGTTGCCTACTTTGTTAGAATAAAGTTGTTCGTAGTATTTTATAACGGTCCTTTTTATTTCATTGGGGGCTTTTTTTCCTCCTCTTTCATTTCTGATTTTGTTTATTTGGGTCCTCTCTCTTTGCTTCTTGGTGAGCTTGGCTAGAGTTTCATCAATCTTGTTTATCCTTTAAAAGAAGCAGCTCTTCGTTTTGTTGATCTTTTGTATTTTTTTTGTTTGTCTCTATGTCATTCATTTCTGCTCTGATCTTTATTATTCCCTTTCGTCTGCTCACTGTGGGTTTTTCTTGTTGCTCTCTTTCTAATTATTTGACTTGTTAGGTGATTTATTACCATTTTTCTTATTTTTTTGAGGTAGGTCCGTACAGCTATAAATTTACCTCTCAGAATTGCTTTCATTGTGTCCCATAGGATTTGCAATGTTGTGTTATTGTTGTCATTAGTCTCCAGGATGTTTTTAATTTCTTCTTTGATCTCCTTGATAACCCAATCATTGTTTAGCAGCATGCTATTCAGCTTCCAAGAGTTTGAATTTTTGGAGTGCTTTTATTGTAGTTTATTTCTAATATTATGCCATTGTGTTCTGAGAAAGTGCTTGATAGGATTTCAATCTTTTTGAATTTGGGGATACTGCTTGTGACCCAATATGTGGTCTATTTTTGAAAATGTCCCATGTGCACTTGGGAAGAATGTATTATTTCATGGCTTTGGGGTGAAATGCTCTGAAGATGTCAATTAGGTCCGTCTGATCTAGTGGGTCATTTAAAATTACGGTTTCTTTGCTGATTATTTGTCTAGAGGATTTGTCCAGTGATGTCAGTAGTGTATTAAAGTCCCTTACTATGATTGTGTTGTTATTGATCACTCCCTTGATATCTTCCAGGAGATTTTTTATGTATTTGGGTGTTCCTTCATTGGGTGCATATATGCTTACCAGAGATATATCTTCTTGTTGAATTGCTCCCTTTAGTAATTTGTAGTAGCCTTCCTTATCTCCTATTATGGTCTTTACTTTGAGGTCTCGACAAATACATTGACAAGTACATGTTTGTTGTAATATTTTTCCTTAGTGTTTGTGTTTCTTCTTGCCTTTCTCTTTCTTCTTCTTCTTTTTTTTTTTTTTACAGTAGTCTCTTTAGCATTTCTTACATTGATCTCTTGGTAGTTGTAAATTCTCTTAGCTCTTTTTTGTCTGTGAAGCTCCTGATTCCACCTATAATTTTGATTAATAGCCTTGCTGGGTATTGTACTCTTGGATTCAGACCATTGCTTTGCATCACTTTGTATATTTCATTCCATTCCTTTCTGGCATAATGTGTTTCTGTTGAGAAATTGGTTGTTATTCTTATAGGAGATCCCTTGTAAGTAACTCTCTGTCACTGTCTGGCAGTCTTTAAGATTCTTACTTTGTCGTTGGTGTTCCCCAATTTAATTATGATGTGTCTTGGTGTCGGTCTTTTGCGGTTCAACTTGTTTGATACTCTATGTACTTCTTGGACTAGCAAGATTTTTTTCTTGCCAATATCAGGAAAGTTTTCTGTCATTATTTCTTC